GTGGACAAATCCCCTTGGTGCAGCAGAGACTAGCCTGGAATATTTTAAAAAGAGGCTTTGCTAGGAAGCTAGTGGGGAAGAAAAAAAAATAGTTTAAAAAATAAAGAGGAAATAGAGTATAGAGATGATAAAAATACACAATCAGGGGGAAAAAAAAATCCCTTGGCCTAAGATAACTGAAGTTGAGTACTAACTTTACTTGACCAAATTCACCAGGCACATGTTTTGTCTGGTTTTTTATTTGTTTTGCCATGATATTGTCTCTGGGGGACTTGTCCTAAAATCTCCCTTTTCAATCTTTGCATATTTTCCTTCACTTACTAAGAATCTTCCCCATCTTTGTCTAGGGAAGGAATTGGAATTCATGTTATCGTCACTTTCTCTTAAAGTCACAGGGTTACTGATCATACCAAAGAATGAGCTTTCCGACTTTTTCTAAGGATAAAATAGCTCCGTGGATACAAACTCATTCTGAGGACTAATGCTAAGCATTCATGAAGAGGGTTTTACTTGCCTGGGATGAGGTGAAAAGCACAGATATTGTGAGTTTTATAATAACGCTAAAGGACTAACCTTTTTATTCTAGGTTTTTTTTTCTCCTTTCTTACTTTTTACTTATTAAAATAGTAAATGGTAGTTGTGAGGTTTTGCTTTATTTTCATTTTTTTTATGTGCTTGTAAAAATTAGAAGTTGTTAACTCTCTGTAAATACCCCCCAGTAGTTTTTTTTTTTTTTTTTGGTTTCTTTTTTGTTTTGTTTTGTTTTGTTTTATTTTTACATTTGCCAGATGGCAGATGTGCTAGCCAAGGAGAGGGGGAGAGAGAGAGAGAAGAGAAGAAAGCACACCCTCCCCCGTCATGGGGCATGGTCATACCACATTCCTTTCTCTTCCATTTCTTCATCCTGCTGGGATTTGGAGCATCATGCATATGTGCATAGCACGTTTTTTAAGTCTCTGGGGCTGGGATTCAAACTGCATTGTTGGCCATGTGAGACCCAGCTCCCTTAACCACTAGGCCATGGACTGGCCCAATGCAGGTTTAAAGAATTCTACCTGGTCTCCGAAACCCAAAACTCTGGTCAACAGATATTTTGTAAGTCATTAAAGTATCCTATATTATTTTTATGAATTTTTAGTCATCTCTTGAATAGATTTTTTTATATGTAAATGATTTATTTTGCAGTCCTTCCAACAGAGCATGCTGTAGCTAACTGTATTTTCAAAAGCAGGGATACCGTTTTCGTAAGTTTGATGATCTATTCTAAGGAACCAGATAGCCTATAATATAATCTTCACTCTAAATATTCATTTATGGACTGAAGATCAATAAATATACCTACCAGATAGTAGGCGAATATGAATATAAGTAAGTCATTATTCCTGCCTTCAAGGAAATTCTAGCCTAGACAAGAAAATCGAAGTGTAAATAGTGGTTTGGGATGTTGGAACTCTTAGAGCCAGGGAGAAGTAAGTGCCAGTTTTGCCTTAGACAGCTTTAAGAAGAAATAAAGTTATACCCAAAGACAAGCTGAGGAAAGGCATCTGCCAAGACCAAAGACCTGAATGAGTATGGTACATTAGGGAGATAGTCCTGGCAACTTCAACATAATATGTGTGAGACTGCCAGACGATGAAGCCAGTATTACTTAGTTTTAATTTCACTTTCCACAAGTGCTTGTTACTACACATAGGATTTTATGCTTTAGGCCAGAAACAGGCCTGAGCAAGAAAACTGTATGTCATAATGTCTTTATTCTTTAGCCTTCCTTCATTTAATGGCACTCACAATTCCATTGGAATTTACTATGTGATAATGTCTTGCACTCAGATTCAAAGAGTTAATTACCAGAGAACAGCACAAAGGAGAACTAACATAAGCATCTTTGCTGACCATAAACTTATGTTGAGCCCAAGAGGAACCTCAGTGGCCACAAGAACAGATACCAAGGTTGTAGCATCCATGGAGCCACAGACTCCAGGGAAGCAGTTGGAGAACCTGCTCAACTGGGTGCTGGCCTGACAATACCCAGAGCACTGTGCTCAGGTCTGGACCCAGCCTGCCCCTTTTTAAGGGAGATCTGGGCAAAGCCCAAAGGTGTCCAGAGGCGGTGTCCTAGAAACTATAGAAAGAGTGAAATTAAAAAGAGGGACAGAAGGGACCAGCAGTTAGCGTAATGGCTGTGTTGCTGGACTCCCATGTAGTCGACTGCGGTTCGCGTCCCGGACCCAGTGGCTTAAAACTCATGCCGGACGTGTGTGCGTGCGTGCCCAAGATCCTGAGAGGAGAATGGAGGAGAAGGGATTGCGGCGTGACCATCCCCCCTGGGGGGTGATTTCTTGCTTTCTGTCTCTCTGTCTCTCTCTGTCTGTCTGGCGAGCGCATGCGCCCTGTAGCGAAAAAACCTCTCCAAAAAAAAAAGGGACAGAATAACTGCCTTTAGTTATTTTAACATTATTTCTTGAGGTGGAGTCAGGTGATTTATAATGGGTTGCGATAGTGGAATGGAAATTGAATGGACTGAAAGAAAATTGAAGGGAGATTTTTGACTCAATGTAAAAAAAAATTTTTTTAACTTATTTATTTTTTTTTTCAGAGTTTTTTTTTTTTTTTTTTTTTTTTTTTTTTTTTTTTTTTTTTAGGGGCCTCCT